AAGAGTTTGGAGAATTCAGTAGCCAGGTATTCTGTCCTTACAGAGCATGCTCCAGCCCTGCACAGCTCCTATGTATGAATTGACTGCACAAGCATGATCCCCATAGAGCAATGGAGTATATCCTATGTAAGGCTGAAAGTGAGAGGAGGGACACTGGGCTTCCCACGGTTGCAATGTATCCCCTTAATGGCACCCAGCCAGAGAAGAAGAAAGCAGCCTGATTTAGAATGCAGAAGTGAGGGGATTGAACAGGAGCAGAGGAATTGGGAGGTGGGAGGGGGAGAATATAGGCAGAAGGTCCTAAACCACTAGAGCACACTCCCCTCCAGATCCTGGAACTGAACCCAAGAGTCTTTAATCTCTACACTCTCCCCTCTGATAAGCAAATAGCTGTGAAACCCATCTAATGGCCCAAACCCTGCAGATGACCCAAGTTGGGGGTCACTATGGTTCCACATGGTGGAATTTGTTTTTTGGGTTGTTGTTTTTCCTCAGTTTGCTTATTTAAAAGCTAGTAAATTGGAATCTTAATATTCTCAAATCTTTCTGGATATAAAGATCAATCACATGCAAAAGCAAGGGACTGGGAACGAAGAGAGATTTGGAACAGATTGACTGGACAAGGAGACTGGGATAGGGAGTCTGGAACTTGCTGGGCAATGGGAGTGGGTTGAAAAGCCTGAGGAGTAGACTAACTAGATGAGGAGAATGGGACTGGTATGAGGAGCCAGGTGTAGTCAAGAAACAGGGACAGGTTGGAGGGAATGGGAAAAAAAGGGGTCAAACTCAGGAGAATGAACAGAAGAATCTGTGTCCTCTACAGCATGCTCTCCTCCACACAGTCTGAAATGGAAACCACCCCCCCCCCCCCATCATTCCTTCACTGTCAGCAAGAATCTGTGAAACCTACTGGCAAAATAGCTACCCCCCCGTAGTGCTAATTCATAGACGAGAATTTACTACAGCTACCAGTTACTCCTTTAGCTCAAGTGTACAGGTCTGCACAATGAACTAAAGGCTTCAACCCTGCTGATGATCCCCATGGGTGTCAATACTGTACCACATAATGGAATATATTTTTTCCAGTTTGCTCAATGTGATAATGGAATTAAATATTATCATAATGCATACACATAAAGGGGCAAATTAAGGTTGTACAGGCAACCTTAATTCTGGCATTTATTAACTCGAGTGCTGACTTTGCAAACAGCATTCTGTTAATGTAGGGGTTTGTGTAATACATTCAAGCTCAGCTACACTAAACATTCAGGTGATTGCCTTTAACTGAAGATATCTGCATGAAGGCTGGAGTGACTATTCCTTGCAACTTTCTCTGCACTTTACTTTTTAGAAGTAAGGACAGTCTCATCTGTTCTTCATCTGAGAGTTTAACTTTTAAAGAACTGGAGTTCTTTAAAGTACCAGTTCAACTGAAAGGAATAACTTAAGACATTTATATAATCGAATGACAAAGTCTGCTCAACTGAAAGCTTACTATTGCTCTTAATTTAAAGTTATTCCACCACAAATGAGACACCCACCATAATCTCATAACTGAGCTCATTCGCTTATGTTTCCAGAAAAAGAATCCTTCTATTAAGAGGGGATAAGCAGATACTCCTGGACAAATACAGAGAAAAGTGAACTAGTACTCATTTATGTAAAGAGATCTAGCAAAACTAAGCTACCCATAAAGTGCTAGGTCATTCTCAAAACTCGAAGAAAAAAAAAAAAAGAATGTCATTCACTACAGTTTGCTCAAGCATGCATTTAATTCAGTACAGACCAATATTATTTCAAGTCTCACTAGTAAGTTATTTTCTGGGAATTCACTTCGTTATTTAAAAAAAAAGTCAGATTGGTATTCAACAGCAGAACATTTGCAAGCTAGCAAGTATTTCTGCTAACAGAAGCCTACTGAAAACTCAGGAAGGAAGGAAGGATTTTTTCCTCAAAGCCAGAAACTTACAGAATCATGTACGTAGCTTGCTTGTGGAAAAGAGTAGTACTTCCAAATGTAAGTAGAAGTTAATTTGTGAGGAAAATACTGTCCCAAAATCCACAATTAACTCATTAGAAGTGTTTTAAACTAATATTTACACTGCAAAAAGCAAGCTATAAAAACAATTATTGAGGGACAAAAAATGCTGTCTCCTAAAATAGGATTTGACAAACTAGTATGGTTAATCTAGGCAACACACTGGAATTTAAGTACTAGAACACATAAAACTAGTGTTGTTGTAACAATTGAAAGCACTGTTAATATTGTACCTGTGCTCTTCTCAGTCCATCCTGCTTTATGGCATTGGATGGTTAGTTTAGACCTCACAAATTAAATGATTTTTTCAGTATAAAAGCTTAATGAACAAACCACTGAGGATTTTTCTACAGTAGAGTTTAGCAACCGTCAGACAACACGTTTGTACATGCTAGTTTGAACAAGTGTTTGGAGTGTATAACTCTCAGGACAGATAGTCTGGACACTACATATTTGGCTTATCCTAGGAACAAACTTGATACAGAAGTGTATCAGCTAAATATAGTGAAGACATGCCTGTAGGGTCTTGTCTTCACTAGGAAGAGGTGTTTTCTTACCATGTTACCTATCACACAGCAACTAAAATGGTAAAATCCTAGTGAAGACAAAGCAGTTTGTAGTTTCAATGTGTTGGCAGATAAACTATAGGCTCCACTGGTACAGCAGAATAATTGACCCAGAGAACCTTATAATAAGGTGGCCCCAACTGGGTGCCCCCTGCAGCATAACAGGTGTGCCCTACTTCAGTTTTCCCTTGGTCTAGCCAAGAGCACAATCATCTCTCTCACTATTCAAGTCAAAGACCCACCTATGGGCATGACTTATTCATGCCGGTGCGCAGTAATCCTGGGAACCCTAATGATCAAACCCAGTTTTCCATTTTAAGACAGCAATTTTCCATTTCCCTCTTCAAACGGATCACTTCCAAAACACCCACCCATGAGTCCACCAGCATTTGGTTCTCAGTTCCTTTCTGTGCTTGTTCCAGGACTCTGTTCTCCAGGCCATCCATCTGAGTAACCAGTCAACTTCTATCCAAACAGTCCAGCTTGTCAGCACAGGCTGTTTTTTTTTCAAGCCTTCAGCAGTTGCTCAGAATGATCAGTAAGCTAACCTGCCCTCCCGCCCCTGGATCTCCTAGTAATGCCTCACTATTCACAATGAGGTCCTGTAGACCCTCCCACACTCTGCAGCTTCCCTGTCTATCCTAGTCAGCTCTCAGTCACCCCCTTCCTTGCTCCTCACATGCTGGCTCACCCAGCCTCCTCCCTTGTAGGATTCATGTGCCTTCTTCTAAGCCCACTTAGGAGGCAACTAATCAATCACAGGTGCACTAGACCAAGCTCCCTCCTACAGGAGCCAGTTACCCTGTGACACCCCAACTAATCCAACAGCTCCTCCAACCCAAAATGTTAAGCATTTTGCCTCAGATAGGTAAAAAAGTAACAAATAAAACAATCCCCAAAACTAGCACAGGTTTCAACATTTAAGGCAGTGGTCCCCAACGTGGTGCCTGCGGGCACCATGGCGCCTGCCGGGTCATTTGTGTGTGCCTGCCTAGTGCCCAGCAGGGGAGAGAAACCGCGGCCCCGTGCCTGACGGGGACTGAGAACTCCAGGATTGCAGGCTGCAGGCGCCAGTGTTCTCGGTCCCCAGCAGGCGCGGGGCCACAGCTTAAGCCAGAGAGAAGCCATGGCCCCGTGCCTGCCAGGGACAGAGAACTCTGGGGCTGCAGGCATGGTGTTCTCTGTTCCCAGCAGGTGCGGGGCCCACCTAGTGCCCAGCAGAGGAGAGAAGCTGGGGGCCTGCACCTGCTGGGGACAGAGTACTCTGGGGCTGCGGGCGCCGGTGTTCTGGTTCTTGTGGCTTCTCGATTCATATATTATGCAATATGATTTTTTTGTATTATTTAATGTACAAATACAAAATAAGCCTTGAAAAACTGTTGGTGCCCGTCACACTCTTCTGAAAACATGAATGTGCTACTGGCCACAAAAAGGTTGGGGACCACTGATTTAAGGGGAACAAGTAGTCTTTGGGAACAGTGGCTTCATATAAAAGTTTAAGTTCAACATGTGCATGTTACAATATTATGTTCATGCTCATTTACTTGGGTAATGGGAAATTATGAAAGCTTCTACAATTATCTTGCCAGTCAAAAGTTGCTTTGTTAGGGTAAGGACTTTTCTATATGCGAAAGCTGCATAGGTTGAACTAAAGGTGGATTTCAAAACCAATTTAGTTGAACTAGTGAAGAAGGTCATGTGGCCTATTCTCAGTTTAAGACAGGATCGTTTCAATTTGGCTTAAGTCAATTAGGAACAGGTTTAAGCTGAACCCAAATAAGCATCTAAAGATGGGTTTACACCAGTTTAAATTTAAAAGTTGTTAAAACTAATGCAGCTTGTATTTAGTCAAGTGATAAAAGAAGGATTTTTGAGAGAACATTATGCCTACTATCATAGTTTACTCCGTGAGATGCTATCAACGAAGACCAGGCACTTGCATGAAGCCTGGTGGTCACCTCACACAATTACTCTACATGGGGCTGTCACCTTGGGAATAGGATAGGCCTCCTAAGCTCAGGAAGTGTTAGAATGCTCTGGAATAGAACATGAAAAGGACATTAAGAAAGTGGGAGGGGGAGAGACTTGACAGCTTGGGGTGGGTATGGCCAAACCCTTTTCACTGATGCCAGGAGAGACTGCTTTTAGAAGATCTCCTATTAAGATTTAATAAAGTTGAAGTCACTTGGGCAAAAGTAAAATACTCACTCCTCACTGGCCCTCTTCCTCATATTTTACAAAGCATCATGTAAACTTCCATTGCTCTATTAAATTCCCTCTTCAAAAGGACATTAAGAATATCTGCTTGTTCACTTACATAACTTTAAAAGTTACTAGTAATGCAATTACAAAGACATACATGCACTGGAATTAGTGTTTCACAGACAGAACTTTACCTGCTTTTTTGGTGTTCAGAAATAGTGTAGTGGTAGCTTTCTAAACTGGTCTTCTCAAAATACTTTTCATGAGTGCTGAAACAAACCAAAGAGACAACCTTTAGTATTTCCAAGCTAGCCAGAAATCTTATTTTGAAAGACAGTCCAGCATGCCAAAGGCTTACTCAGCTCCAGAATATATTTTTAAAATGTGGCTCTTAGGAATTAATTTCTAAGCAATACTAAAGTTCACTTTAGTAAAGTATTTTATGCAGAACCACTGTGAAGAAATTCGGTGTTCAATACATTTCAAACAGTCTGATTTAAGTGTTCTGCAGTACTCTAGTAAATATAGAATTTGAAGTAAAACTCAAATAGGAATCTTCATTCAAATGAGTGGAGTTGTTTTTCAGTAAAACTCTTGCATACCTTAACTTCAATGTATAGTTTAGCATTTTAGGATTTATAGTTACTACATTTTAAGAAAATTAGATTAAGGATATTAAATACTACAAGATAGAGAGTTCTAAAAAAGTTTCACATGATAAAACAGGCAAGAAACCTAGGTGTTATATACACCTCCATGAGCCCTGCTCAAGGCCTGGAGGCATATATATGCTCCAGAAGCAGGTGAAGCCACTCTACTTTTGGAGCACGAGTCTGTTCTAGATATGGTCACACCTTGATTGTATTTATCAACTATAGAACATTTACTCTTGCCACTAATCCACACTTATGCAGTTTATATCTGACTTTTAGTGCTGTGTGAGCTCAATATTTTCTAGCCACCACTGGCTCTCCCAGGCAGTTAGTCTCAATTTATACAGCTGGCCGTATATTGGATCTAGTAGTTGAGTTAGACTTATAACTTCCAGACAGGTCATGGACTGACCATTGCCACCTGCATTTTGAAGTTGGGGCTTTGATAGCTTGTTCTTTGAGGCTAATGTAAGCAGATTGTCAGAGCCTTCTAGAATAAGAGTTTTGTTCTGACAGACTATTCTTGACTTGGTGGATTACAAGATGTTTATGCGCCATCCACTAAGCATGTAAGCATCCTCTTCTCTGGCTTTGTTCTCAGAAGACACGTTCATGTGTCAATAACCTGTGACAAGTTAAACAAGATTGTAGACAAGAGTCAGTGGAGGAAATCTTGGGCTGAGGTAGATCAATTGCAAAATAAAGATTTTTAAATTTCTTATATTGTGGCTGCACAAAAGGCAAAGAATAAATTCTTGTCCTTCCTGCAGACAGCTCAATAGCAACTTCTGTTCAATGCGCAGTTGTGGTCAAATAAAGGAAACAAGGTATTCTGTTACACAAGGAATGGGCTAGTGAATAATACAGAGATTATTAAAATGCTGTTATAAAAGTTAATGTGGCCTGAACTGGAAAACTGTGGGCAGTACTGCTCACCCCATTTCCGAAAGGATATTGCAGAATTTAAGATAAGAGGGTAGACTAGGAACTTCTGGTCTCCTTGTCTCAAGAGAAGAGCCAAAGGGACATTCAATTAAATTAAAAAGGAGGTGTGAAATTCATCAGGTAAGAAGAAAATACTTTTTCCAAACAATGTGTAATTAATTTGTGGAATTCATTTAGGTCAAGAACTTAATATTCAAAAAGGAATTGGACATTTAGAGAGAGTATCAACAGCCAGAGTTATAATTGACAAAAATTGCATAAGATTGAATCTCTTCCACTACAGTGTTTAAAACAGTCGGTCTATTATTCGAGATCTGGATGAGGCGTAATATGGTATCCTCTGAAGCCTCTCATGCTTCTGATGGACCTTAGGTCTATTCAGTATGGAAATTCCTTCTTTTCCTACGCAAAATGTTGGGCAGCAGATTTGTTCTGGGTTAGTCAGATTAACCCACTGGTTAAGCCAAACTACTTTTGCTCAGCAGCTGGTCCTTTTTTCTTGAACGTATTACAAAACTGCCAATCAAATTTCTAGCTCTGCAATACAAAATCCTTCATGTTTTAAATTATAGTCTAGATTGAAAATCTGGATGCCAAAAGGAAGAGGGAAAAAAGGGATAACCCCAAACATAGGTATTTACACTCGGCACAGATCCAATAATACTTTGATTTTGTGAGATTATAATTCATTTAACCTATTACAAGCATTGTTAAATAGGAACTTAGTGTTAACTAGGAAGTGTAAATGTATTTATGCCTTGCTCTCTGTAAAACTCTGGCCAATCATTTCATCACTGACTGAGAAGCTTGAAATTCTACTCAGAGTGGAACTGCTGACTGAAATACCAAAAGCATAAACATGCCTGCATGTTATTAAAGGAACTAGTGGAAAAATTCACAGGCTGACATCCAGAATGTCTGCGGTTCCTTTTCCTATCTCTCTTCCTATAAAGCAGTTATAAGGCCAGGACCTCAAATCTATTTTTTGTCAATCTTGGAAATTTCCACAGTTTAAGAGATCTATAAAAAAAATTTTTTCAAAACTAAAGCCCAACCAGCTCTAGAATTCTGACTTGATAGAACCAATAATTTAAACAAGTTTTGTTGAGATAAAAGCACCACCAATAGCAATAAAAACCCCAGAGAACTGAACCAAAATATGAGAAGTGTTACATAGCCATTTTGAAATAACATACACCACATTGGGGAGAGAAGTAGTAATTAGGGATTTAGTAATTTCATTTCAAGTCCAGATAATTACAGTATATTTTGAAGGGACTTTCAAAATGATTTCCAGCCAAGCTATACATTTCTACCCAGATACAACGCTGTCCTCGGGAGCCAAAAAAATCTTACCGCGTTATATCGAACTTCCTTTGATCTGCTGGAGTGCGCAGCCCTGCCTCCCCGGAGCACTGCTTTACCGTGTTATATCTGAATTCGTGTTATAGTGGATCGCATTATATCAGGGGTAGAGGTGCACATATGATATAGAACCCTTGGAAGCTCACCAAGTTAGTACAGCTGTGTACAGAAAACTAGATCTTGAATAAAGCAAACTGCTCAATACAATAAGGGTCTTCTAGTTCAGCCCTAATGTCCTCCTTTCCCTTAATAAGGGCATATTCTTTATATTTACTAAACATAAGAGGGTAACTGTTTTTAAAGAGCGGTTTTGGACTTCATTCCCCTGATTTGGAGCCATACTTAATAAGAACCAGGCCAACAAATTATATTTATATTAACCCAAATAAAAAAATAAAAATAAAATCCTTTCTACTTAATTATGTTCTTAAGAAAGTAGTTCCAGAGAAGTTTTAATTACAAACCAAGGTTTTTAAACAAGCTTGAATATAAATAGCTGTATGACATTGATTTACAAATTAAGAAAGCACTATATCAATACACAACGCCATGTAATGTTCCTAGCATCTAAACAAGATGTTTAGGTTATGTTTCCTCCCTTTATACTTAGATTTTCTTTTGCTTTAAAAAGAAGGATGCTGTTTTAAAAATGTTTTTCTTTAATTTAAACAAGAAAACTTTTAGCCTGCTCAAAGTTATACATCTGCAATTATAGATTTTAAAAATTGATTTGGATTAAATCAGAAAGTTTTAAAATATAGTAATCACCAAGTTATGTACATGCCAACACCAGTTAATGAAATACGCAAAGTAGAATCTCCTTATTTTGCAGACTTCATAAGCTGCATAAAAGTTGATGGCCTCACCTCCCAGATATTAGATACAGTAAGAGCTTCATTAAGATTTTGCATTTTGTTAAAAACACCATATTGAATGTAGGCATATAGTTGCTATACAAAATGCACTATACTGAATGTAGTAGTGTACTATGATGGCAGGAGTTGGACTGCAATTGACAGTCACATAGTGATGCTATCTTTGCGTTTGTATTGTGTTTGAATTCAGATTGAAGAGTAAGGCCACAATAGTTCTTCCCAGACATTCCATTGTGTTGCAAGGATAAATGCATTGGGGGAGGGGCGGGGGAGAAGAGGACAGAAGAGAAAGGATGCAGAATATTCAACAACATTTAACATACATAATGGAAATGCATTTGTACCATCTACTTAAATGTAAAAAATTAAGGCTGGAAGTGACAGAGAAGCTTTTCCTCTGAACTGGACGAAACCTTCTGTAATATTACTCCAATATGCAAGCACTACGTAGAATGTGTCTCCCTGGTGTGGGAAGACTGCCCAGAAGTACATCCCCAGATGTGTCAGACACATGTACGTGGGCATTCACAACAGACAAGCCACCAACAAGATTCAAAACTATTTGATTTAGATCCCTTTGGTGGGGTGGGGGGGGGGGGTGGAGAAAAAACACACACCACTATTAGGCTCAGCAAAATGCTTATGAGAGAGATTGGAAAGGAGCAGCTGGAGAGCGCCGACTGAAACAAACCCTGTGCCATAACAACCACAAAAAAAAAAAAAAAAAAAAACAACCTAAACACCACACACACAGTGCCCTTCTCCCCCCGCCTTCACCCCACCCCACCCGCAGCTGATGCATTACAGCTCAAGTACATTGCCATAGTCTCTCCCAACCAACTCATTCTAAAACAGTAAACCAAAAAGTAAAGAACAGAATGAAACAAGCAAAACTTTGCACACTCTCTAAAAACAGCAAAGACCACAATGAGCAGCTCAACACTGAAGAGTGACAATAGTCATAAAAACCCTGAATTGTGGGAAGCAACTAACTATGTGTCTAATGAACTATTACCACACTTTGGGAAAAGCATGTAGAAGTGCCTGCTGGACTAACTCTTGTATGGAGACAATGAAACACTCAGGCTGTGGAGAGACACCAAAGTGGTTGCTCGGCTCAATTCCAGAGTTACCATCCCAGCAGCTTTACTCTGCTTAACCTACAAGCTGTATGAACAGGTGACAATGGTAGCATAGCACCAATATTAGAAGGGCAGCCGACTGATGACCAAGCCAATTTCTGCCCAGGACATTCACATGGTGGCCAAGTTGTAAGCTTAAGTCAATTTATTGAAGATGGCTCCAAAACCAGCAAAAATAGAGGGGCTGTGTTTGTTAAACTGTGGGCTGCCTAAAACAGCAAACCATTGTGTATTTCTATTGATATTAGTAAGAATTTTGAGAAGTGGCAAGATGGTTCAGGACATTTCC